AGTTCGATCCCCAGCCAGGGAGCTGACCCACATGGCACAGCAGATCTCTCCTGTGTCCCTGCTGCTCCCCTCAGCAGTAGATTTCAGTCAGTCTACCTGTTCCGCTCCTCGCTCTGTCTTTGGTGAATCCTTTCACACACACACCCCTTTACATCTCTAGCCTGTACCCCAGTTCTTACATGCATAAATAAACAAAAGAAAAATTGAGAGTTGATCACCAGGGGTAAATGTAAGGTCCTGTTCTGTGATTAAATGGCTCAAGTCCAAGCTTGGAGCAAGGTGGGTTATCAGGATCTGGTGTTTAAAAAATGACCTACTAACTGCAGACACACTTTATGTGGATCTTAGAAAAGCTAATGTTCTATTGAGCTGAATTAATAGGAACAAGATAATTAATAAACTCACAAATCCATCTGGAAAAGAATCATAAATATCTTGTTCCCTATTGCACCCCCTGCCCCAGTCTCCAGCATAGTGTCTGGAAAAACACTCAGTAATGACATCATGGGCACTCAATTCATGGCTGCAAATACTTAGATGTATTTATTTAATCATTAAGCTAATTTACTGAGCATTTGTGGTTCCCTGTGTGCTGTTATAGGCAATTGAAATACAGTAGTGCTTTTGCAGAGGTTTTTTTCAAGTGGAATGATGGGGAATAAAGACAACACAACAGATAAAATAGTGGTGTGTAGTGGTGATGAAGTGCCATGGAGTAAAATCCCTAGGCTAAGGTAGATGGAGAGTGCCGGAAGGAGGGGAGTCACATCACATAGAGGGGGTGCTGGAGCTGACGCCTGAAGGCTGTGAGATGTGAGCCCTGCAAGCCAGTGCAAAGGTTCTGAGGTGGCCATTTGCCAGATGTATTCAGAATAGAAGGAGATGAGTCATTGCATCTGACTTGGGGCAACTACTTCTGGAGTATAATGCACGTACCTGGGCACTACATAATCTAAGCGATGGTCAGATGAAAGCATTTCAAGGGGGAAAAGGATCTGAAACCATGGTAGGGTGGATTAAATGACAGACTAGCGTTGGTAGACCTGAACACACATCTTCAAGTGGATAAAGAGCAGAGAATCAAGACTTCCCCATGTGACCAACAGTTGGGACCTCCCATTCATTCACGCTGTAAAATACAGCAAAGCAAGTTCCCTACAGAGGGAGGCATTCCCTTCCCAGTAGTGAGCTCCCTGTTACTTGAAGTACTCAAGCGACTAGTTGACAATCTAGCAAAGATGTAAGCAATGACTCTCCTGTCCCAGCCTGGAATCTGGAAAAGTGACTCTGACGGGAATCCATTGAGAAGATTCAGAGCTGGGTCCTCTCCTGGATTTCTCCTGTGTCCCTTCTTGCTCACCCTTGGGACTGAGCTCACAGACACAGGGCACCCAGCACCAGAGGGAGGGGAAGCAAGTCAAAAAGCAGCAGAGGAGAAGAGTGGGGGACATTGAAAGGGGATGAAGGAAAGAAGATGGGAGAGGGAGAGGGAAGAAGTGAAAGTCAGGAGAAGGAGAAAGAGCACAGTGAGAAGAGCCAGGGAAACTGACAGAGGAAGCGGAGACTGGAAGAGCCAAGAGGAGGTGAAGGCAGGAAGGGGGAAATGAAGAGGGAAAGAGACAGAGGAGGAGACAGACGATGTTAAAAGAGGGAAAGGATGCAGGATGGCAAAGGACTTGGGGAATGGCGGAGGCGAAGGAGAGAAGGCAGAGAGACAGAAAGGAGGAGGGAGGCGGTGTCTGGGGAGGTGGGGGCTCGAGGCGGCCATGGCACAAGCACATGGGCGATCTTGAATCACAGCTCATTCTGGGCTTCCTGTTTGCAGCCTGTCCCTGAGCACACTCAGGGGCTTCCAGCTAGTCAATAAGCGAGTGCCAAGACTGCCTCTGGAGGCCGGCAGCCATTTCCCCATGGCCTCACCGCACCCACCTACCCTTTAGCCGGAGACCAGCCCAAAGCCCCCAGGAGCCATCCTGGGCTCCTCCCCACCTGCCCCCTTCTCCAGGCTCCCTGACTGCAGATTCTTGAGGGCTCATGGGGCAAGCCGTGAACCTCTAGAGCACAGTCTCAGCCTGGACAGAAAGAGCTACTTGATGAAAGATAAGTGTCCCCGAGACACATTTTCTTTGCCTTTCCAAGCTCCCTTAGTTTTCCTTCCATTCCTCTGCCCCTTCCCAAGTGACAAGTAGATCTTGTCCAAGCTTCTTAAATTCCCTCCAGCAAGCGTCCTTGGAACCACGGCAACATGGCAGGCTCTGTGTCACAGCTGAGGAGGAGAGGACATTTGCATTCTGTCCTCATGGAGCTTGCTGTCTGCTGGTGACAGATGCAGGGGGAACCAGGTTCTTATAGGGCCCCGACGTGATACGATTTGGGAGGCCCTCTGTCGGGAAAAGCACATACGGCATGCACTCACTGGGAACATTGAGTCTCTCCGGCGGTCTGGAAGTTCCAGTGCATGAGAGACCTGGAATATAAGCACCCCTAGGTTGGGTAGGATGAGCACCTCCCCAAGCCACCCAGGTCGAGGTAGGAGGGAAGAGCTCTTGGGGGGTGGTGAGGGGGTGTGCACTCCTCGTGAAACGGTTGGCAAGTTAAGCCACCAGATGTATGCTTTCTTTGCTCTCTTGTCTACACGGTGGAGAAGTGAACGCAGGCATGATGTAATCTACAAATATCTCATGACGGACCCCTATACTCACTGGAGCTCAACTGCCGTAACAGAAGCGCACGGTGGCTTGATAAGCATGGGCTTTCTCGCTCACACATCTGTCTGAAAAAGAGTGGCCAGGGTGGGACCTCCTTGTTGCCAGGACCTGGCTCATCCCTTCTTGGGGTGTAGCCCTTCAGCCTGTCAGCCCATCCAGCGTGATCCACGTTGGGTCCAGGGAGAGGGAAGGAAGAAGTGGAAAGCCCTCCTTTCCCTTGTACAAGACCTAGAAATGCAGGCCCCCAACACATGGCCGCACGCAGGTGCCAGGTGAGGGACATGTGATATTTCCTCTGGGTGGCAGCTTCTGCTCTGCCTTGAGACAGATACCACCCACCCTGGTGTCTTCCCCTGCTCCTGGCTTTAGAAGCTCCCCTGGGCCCACTCCGCAGCCCTCAGTAACACCCCATGTCCCTGGCGTCAGCCCCATAAACAGTGACCTTCTCCCCTGGCCTTTGGCCTGGCAGAACAGACACACACATGCACACATGCACACGCACATGCAGCGTGCTCACACGCATGTGCTGCGACGCTCTTTCGGACTCGGCTCTGCCTTCCCCACCTTGAGCCTCTGCATAATTCAACCCCCAGCCCCACTGCTCCAGAGCTTTGCTTTTTTTTTTTTTTACAAAAGTTTATTTTTACATCATTTTGTACATTTTTTTTCCATCTCAATTGTAAT